ATGTTTTGAAACATCACAAACTAAATGAAGGCTGGGAATTTAGCTCAGTGGTTCCACCTCTTGCCTCTCAAGTTCAAGGACCTGAGTTCAATCCCGGTACCAAAAAAAATTAAATGAAATCTTTCCTTTCAAATCCATTTAGATGGAAGAGGCCTCCAGATTCTATTATTAACCAATAATTAAAGCTCAAGTGTCAGGCCCTGTATCACCCTCAACCACTTCCTTCCCAAGAATTTGTCTATAATGACCCGACCTTTAAAGATCTATTAATTTTGACATATTAGATATTCTTAGGAACTGGGTCTGGAGGTAAACATCTATAATCTGAGTATTCAAGAGGCTGAGACATGAGAACTGCAGAAATTCAAAGCCAGCCTGAGCTACATTGTTTGTACAAAGCTAGCCTGAACAACACAGCAAGAGCCTATGTCAAAAAACATAAATATACCTAAATTTTGAGATGACTGGTAAACGTGATAGAACCTTAATACAGTATGTTTGCTACCTTTCAAATATATGCTTACCTTACTAAAGCTAAACTTGTGCCAATCAAAAACTTTAAGACTGCAGGCAATACTTATGGCTAACTCGTACTTGGTAAAAGAGAAAGATTAATATGCCAAAGATTGATGAAAAGCTATATAGTCTGATTAAAAACTATACTGGTACTTATTTTACTATTACAACTTTTCTGATTTCTAATTTTCCAAAACAAAAAGTTGTAATTCAAGACTACAGCCTGAAAACCTCAAGATATTTTAAGTCAGCTTTCAAAGTTTCTTTTTCCTTAGTCCTATATTAAGACAGTGAAGCAGTATCTCTCAGACAAAACAGTATTGCATAAAACAGCCACTGTCCCATCAATACCAGAAAAAAAGTCAATTTCTTCCCTTTTAGGCAATTCTGCCCAAAACGTAAGAGCAGGCCATTCAAGATCTCTAGCAACATTTAACACTCTAAACAAGGTATTTTTTACTTGGTTATCCTAATGCCATGGGTTTTTTTGATAGCACTGGGGATTGAATACAGGGCCATAGGCATATACTATGCAAGTGTTCTACCACTGAGTTACAACACCTCTAGGCCTTTTCTATTTTGAGACAGTGTCTCACTAAACTGCTCAGGCTAACCAAAATTTGTGATCCTCCTGCCTCAACTTCCCAAATAGCTGGGATTACAGGCATGTGTCAACCATGTCCAAGGATTATTGTAATGCTATGTCACTGAACATGTCATTTTCTTTATATCCTCAGAGGATTAACTTTAGTTATGATAAACTTATATATCCCTCTAGCACTCCTCCACCAAATCCTTGTATTATAAGTCAAGTAACTCATAGTTAAAGACATTTCAAGAGTTAAATCATTTTAATTACCTACTGAATAGAGATGATCAATAGTAATCTCGTGCCTTCTATATGCTGCACATTTTAAAAAACATCCTGTTCAAAAAATCCTAATAATTCTAATTTGTTTTGTTGATAAGGACATTCAAAAGTAAAATTACTGGTCCATGGTACCACAAGCACTAAGCAGCAGAGATTAAAACGCAAACCCAAGTTTGTCTTCCCCAAAGGCCCATGTTTTTGCCATGTAACTCCATCTCATTTATGTGAGCAATCTACCTAGGAACCAACATTTCTTTTCTTGGTATTCCCACTCTAGTGAGTTTCATCATCAGGAATTTTTCTGGCAGGGTGGGGTGGTGGTGGTAGAAACAGAACCAGATCTCATGCATTCTAAAAGCAAGTGCTCTACTACTGAACCACACTCCTAACCCTACTGCTAAAAAATTTAATACAAAGTTTATAAAAATACTAATGTAAGGTGAAAATTTTAGTAATTATTACTTTGCATGATTTCCCACAATCAAAGCTTTCTTGGAAGCCAGATTCCCTCATACTAAATTATTTACGACAGGGCTGGGGATTTAGCTCAGGGGCGCACACAGTGCCTGCCCCACAAGCACAAGGTCCTGACTTCGATCCCAGGTACCACCCCCCATTAAAAAACAAAAACAAAAACAAAAAAACCTTAAGACAACAGGAACACAGGCCCGATTCCATAGTTTGACTCACAAAAGCAGCCTTCTGAAACAAGAATGTTTTGCAATGTTAGCAGGTTAGCAAAACACCTCTAACATGGCCATTCAACAGCAATGACTAGATGCTCATAATGAAAAAGCACACATTTAAACTGGTGTATGAGAGCCTGGCAAGGTGGTAGACACCTGTTAATTCCAGTACTGAGGGAGGCTGAGGCAAGGAGGATCAAGGAGTCCTAACTAGGCAACATAGCAAGATCCTGACTCAAAAAAATAATACAAGGGCTGGAGATGTAGTTCAGTTGGAAGGCTCTGTTTTCAATCCCCAGTATAAGGCAAAAAATAAAAATTGGTCTACTTCAGGTCAAGCAGAACTTAAAACATTCAAACTAGCTTAAGATGTACTTATTTGTCTAGTGAAAATATTACTTAAATACTTCACCTTCAAGAGTAGTCAAGAGTCCAAGGCTAGACTAGCCTTTAACACTGTTTCTTTACTAGTAGTTTGTTAATATTACATTGTCTCTTTAACAAAAAAGCTAAAGTCAGGATTGGGGATGTAGTTCAGTGTAAAAGTGCTTGCCTAGCCTGAGTGAAGCCCTGAGTTCGATCACTAGCATTGTCAAAGGGGGTGTGGGGGACGGGGTCAATCGCTAAAAGACTAGGGCCAGGGATGTAGCTCAATGACATTGTCCCTGTACGGCAAGTGCAAGGTTCTGAGTTCTATCTCCAGTATCAGAAGAAGAAGAAGAAGAAGAAAAAAAAAAAAAAGCCAAAAGACTAAAATAACTCTGAAAATGGATATGAGATTTATAATCACTGACAGAAAAAGCTAAATTCAGTAAAAATATTCTCAACCTTTTCCCTTCAGAAAGCACTACTCTGGTTCAATAAGTTCAACAGGGTCAAAAAAAAAAAAAAAAAAATCTATGTCATTCAAGTCAGAAAAAGGCAACCAAGAGCCTAAAGGAGCCACACACACAACTAGTTCCACAACCCTGAAGGACAGGAACCTCACAACTCACTCTTCCATTTTTACAAGTCAAACCTTGGGAGAAAGAAAACAGGAATAGGTATTTTCTAAATTACACCTCTTCAAAAATGTCCAACACAAAGCAAGTCGATGAGTGGGCTGGGAATCAAACTCCAGTGTAATCACTTCTACTCAAATACTACGACACCACCTGAGAAGTGGAGAAGTAAAGCACGATGATGCACACTTATAATCCTACCTGCTCTAGAGGCTGAGGGAGAAGAATCACCAAGTTCAAGGCTAGGCTGTGCAACCTGGGGAGACCCTGTTTCAAAAAACTAAAACGTAGTTCAGTGGGAATTTCCAGCACAGCAAAGAAAATCTTAAAATCTAGCGAATAAGACATACTTCTTAAAAGTTTCCCATTACCAATAAGGTGGTTTTCCCTTTAGTCAAAAACTCACAAAATGATGCTAAAACACCTAAGGACCTTAATGCTCAACCTTGGATATTAGTAGGCAAATATTAAAAATATTAGCCCTGGTTTTTCCACAAAAGTTACTTAAGGCCATAAATACTATCTAGAGAGATCAAAAGACAATTTGCAATTTAGGGGAATATGTGCCAGCTGGTAAACGGCATTGCATACAAACTAGAAGCAGTTAATTAAGATCACTTTATCTCTTTGAGGTAAAAATCAATTTTAATCTTAAAGCACCAGAATCATATAACCATTGTTTATTTGTACTTTCCAAACCCTTGAAAATACAACATCCATTTAACATAAATCTGACTACCAAGGATTTGATAATGTCCTTCACTTAAAATTCAATTGATCAATTTTTTAAAATTACTGTGCTTCCCTGAACTTTAAAAATAGCACATTTATGGTGGCAGGTATAGCTCTGTCATAGGATATCTGACTACCAGGACCAAGGCCATAGGTTCAATCATCAGTATTGGGAGGAAGGGGGAGCGTAAGCTTAGACTATGTAATTCCACGCTATATAAAGTTCCAGAGAAAATTATGGTGTTAGGTAGTGCTTATCCTTGATGGCAATGACTGGCAGGGTTAGGCTGTGTGAATGTGAAATCTACTTCTATTAAATTACAAAGGTGTGCATTAACTTGCTTACTGGATAAAGGCAAAAGGAAAAAAAAGCTGGAGAGAATCTGAAGAACATCCACATTATTATTATTATTATTATTATTTTTTTTTGATACCAGGGATTGAAGTCCGGTCCTTGCGCTTGCAAGGCAGGCCACCGAACCGCTGAGCTATAAATTCCCAGCCCTATCCACATTATTTTTGAAACAAAAAAGTAAAACTGTCGGGCGTGGTGGTGCACGCCTGTAATCCCAGCACTCGGGGCTGAGGCAGGAGGATCACTGTGAATTTGAGACCAGCCTGGGCTACACAGTGAGTTCCAGGTCAGTCTCAACTATGTAGTGAGACCCTGTCTCAAAAAAAAAGTAAAATTCAACCACCAATGTTAAAAGTAAAATATTTGGCTGGGCCTTGTGGCACATGCCTATAATCCCAGCACTTGCGAGGCTGAGGCAGGAGGATTTCAAATTCCAAGCTAGCCCAGGCTACACAGGGAGACCTTGTCTCAGAAACAACAAAAAAATTTTTTTGGTAAAAACAAAATTCATGTTAAGTGCCTCGAGTAAAAGGGGCCAGGGATTTAGCTCAGTGGTTCCAACATCTGCTTCAAAAGCACAGGGTTCGAGTTTGATCCCCACCACAAAAAAGAGCCCCCTAATCAGAACTGGAAGCAGGCAAACTAACACAGGATTTTTAGAGCTGATGGTTAATTTAATGAGCATGAAGAATTTCAGAGACACAATCCAGCGGAGTCTCATTAAGCACCCACAGTACAAAGCTACTTGGATGCTTCTTTGAGGTTTAAGAAAAACCAAACTCGTGTCCAATGCACGTTGTACATAAGGTTATCTAAACCCATTTATACTCACTCCGTACCTTATTTGCATGGCCTGCACTCTGAGTCCGCTGTAATCAACCTCTTTTTGCTCAAATTCTTTCCACTCGTCTTCATCCTGTGAAAGAAATACCTCATCAATCATAGCTATCTGCAAACGTGCAACTAAAAAGGCATCAGAATATGAAAAAAGGATCCAAGTGGCTGGATCCCAAAGGAATATGGACTCATTTTCTGGTTCAAGTCCTCCCTCGCTCCATCCGTCTCATTACTGCTTACTGCGGCCGTGTTCCTAAAGGCGAGCAGTTACTTTAAGTCAACTAGGAAAAACCAAGTAAAGAAACCAATTCTAACTCCACGCCCACATTTCGGGCTCACAGTTGCCCTGACTTCTTTAGCCGGCTTAGGGACCAAGCGGTGCCAACACAGGTGCCCCAAATGCGACTTAACACGCTTAAACGCAAATTGAGCTCGTACTATGGGTTCCAGTCAGGCACCAATTACTCAGAGCAGACGTCACACACGAACGCCCCGGAGACGGCGCGACGGCCCAAACCGAGCGCCCGGTGGGGTCCGGTTCCGGCGAGCAGACCCGACGTGGGCTGCCGCGTC